TTAATCGATCGCAAGGGAGAAGCCACTCCTTCCGGTTATCGGTTCCTCTCCAGGGATCTCTAGCTTGAAGCAAAACCGAAATCCCTCAGAATCTCCGTCTGTATCATTTATACCTTCGTTACGGTAGACTCCATCTATTGTTAGCTCTCTTACGACAAACATCTAATTAATGTTGATCTCGATCTTTGTGCGCCGATATATTGTTATACTACATAATATAGTATGCTTTTCAAATCCCTCGAAACCTCTTGCTTTGAATTGGAAAGCACTTGTCTTCCTTTTGATCTTTATGAGTGATATCTTTTTGTTTTTCTACAGGGTCGAAGATAAGCTCATTTCGCTGTGGTAGCAGTGCACTATTGCACGAGGAGAAATCAGCGGTAGACAAAGCAAAATATCGCTCCCAGCTCGAATGGCGATTGGAAGAGGAAACTATATTTGAACTCCGCTCGGAACTGACCGACGTTCAAGACGAAGTGCGCAGAAAGGTTCAAGGATTTAGAAGAAAACATGCTCAAGCTAGAAAGAGAATGTCAAATCCGTATGGATCAAATAATGGATGGCGACCTTAAGGAAATGCTTCATGAGGCAAAATCAGTTTTCATCCGAAAAGGATCGAAAAGGAAGAATGACGTGGAAAAAGAAGTTCTCGAAAAACGGCACCCTTGCGAGTAAAAACTACGACAGAGCGATAGGGAGCTGAAAGACATCGATCGATCCCTAAGTAGCATCCCAGTGAGAGAACGTCATTTTGGAGACCTCGTCTTGAAAACAGTGCGGCCACACTCCCACGCTTCTTCTGTCGGGCGATTAAAAATCACTATTCAGCTCGTAGAGTAAATGAGAGGCTAAAGAGCATCACTTCAACGGAAGCATATTCCATATACATCGAGATATGAACATCCTGAAGACCTTGCGCAAACAGAATGTTCTGCTTTTATTGCAAACAACTTCGCCTTCACGAGAATGTGGATAACCACACCAGTATTTGCAGCCGACCGGAGCAGTTTATGGAGGCACAACGGAAACATGACCGCACGCGACAAGTACTGCCGAATGTTATATGAATACGATGCCGACAGTCGAGCGAACGGAGGCCAGCGTGAAGAATGTGGAACTACAAGAGCATCAAGGATCCACTCGATCAAGTCAGAGTGTACTAAATCAATCAGTATTCTTCTTACACAATGAGTTATTTCACATAATAATTTAATTTGTTCGCACTATAAAGCAAAACTTGCTCATTGAAAAATCGTTGAGAGCACCACCTGGTTAATCCGGAAAGTCCCCATAGTCGACTGAACTATGCTGTTCATACAGCTTGGGAAAGGAATGCGCGTTTGAGCTCAAAAGTTTTTTTATTATAAAAGTGAAACTAACCAAGATCAATCCAAAAGATATTCTCCATTACTATCGATGACTTGTTGCCAACGTGTACGTAAAGAATAGATTCCTCTTCTGAAAAACTCGGCCGGCTGCGAGTCGAAGTAATTGGACACCCAGAGTTGAAGCTCTTCGCGGTTTTTAAACTTTCTCTCGGCTAAGGAGTGCTGCATCGACCGGAATAGATGGTAGTCGGATGGTGCGAGATCCGGGCTGTATGGCGGATGAGGCAGAACTTCCCAGCCCAATTCCTCAATTTTTTCCAGGGTGGTCTTTGCAACATGTGGACGAGCATTGTCGTGGAGGAATTTTGTCGACGTCGTTTCGACACCTTGACGACCAAGTGCTTGATCGACGCGGCTCAAATGACCTTTGTAGATATCCGCCGTAACCGTTTGGCCCGAATCCAGGACTCCCAAGTACCATAAACCTTTGCTATTCCACCAGACACAGAGCATTTTTGCCGTGTATTTCCGGTTTTGGGGTAGGTTTCGGAGTGTCACCAGCGTCCAACCACTGCCTCTTTCGTGTTGTGTTGTCGAAACAGATCCACTTTTTATCTGAAGTAACAACAGAGTTGAAAAAACCACTGTTCTTGGAGCGACGGAGAAGGATTTCTGCCATTGCCACTCGTGTTGCCTTGTTGGCGTCGCTCAGCTGGTGCGGTACCCATTTTCCGCACCTGTTTGTCTTACCAATCGCCAACAAATGGTCCTTCAACACTTGGTTATCGACGACATGAGGCCGACTTCCATGTTCTTCGTCCTCCAAGCTTTCATTACCTTTTTTGAAGCGCTGGAACCACCGTCGACACTGGTTTTCTGACAGGGCTTCATCATCGAATACTTCAGAGATGGTACGATGAGATTCAGCGGCCGATTTTCCTTGCTTGAAGTCGTACCACATGCAAGCCCGCAAAACAATTTTTGGTCAAGCATCTCCTAAACTTTTTTTCTTCAAAAAAAAAACAAAGTAGACATAGCCAAAAACATATCATAAGATGCGCAATGAAAAACTCTTCCTAACAGACAAAATTGTTTTCAATTATCTCCTGTAGTAAGGTAGAAATAAATGGACAAAGTTAGCGCGCATTCCTTTCCGAACAACCTAATAGCTCTGCATAGCAATCGACCGACGGACGTTGACATCTTATCTGATTACTCACATGCTCGATGTACGTGCCATCGCCTTGTGTGTATAAAAGAAATGCGGTGAGTGGGAGAGAGCAATTCACTTTTTCTCTTATTAACTTCTAGACTTCTCTTCTCATTGCTATGATTGTCGTAGGTATAAGCACTTCGAGTATACATACATATATCCGGCACTATAAGTGCGTGTATAAGTGCGACCCGCACTAGTGCCCTATAGAACGGTATTTCAATTGTGGCACTATAATAGTCCATACGAGTACTCTGGGCTCCGCGAGTAGCTTCGTTCATTACATTCACGCGTGATATATTAATGGTTCTGACATTACGTCAGTCTGTGGTTCCCACGCGATTCTACCGTAACCATTCTAGTGAATCATGAGAGAGGAAAGATTGGAATGCGCTAAGGCATGAAAAATGCCAAAGAAAGGGAAAGCAAAACTCAGCTTATCAATAATACATACCTTTTAGAACAACAGTATATATAGATAGGAGAGATCAGAAGGAATTCCAGGCTACCCCGCGACTCCGCCTTGAATCCCTCCGTCAGCACCAGCAATGGGAACTGCGACCGACGTACGCTCGTTTCCTCCCTCCCTTAATGTGTCCCTTGCGCTTCGGATATCTCTTAAACTGGCGGATCGAATTCAGACCTGAATCTTCCCAGAACTCTCTTATCCTTCTAACGAAGTGCAATTCCTCTGAGAATGTCAGTTAAAATTTTGTATGATTGTTTCTTTCGCTCAATGGTCGTTTTTATCAATGTATTATGGCCTAACTACCCAAGTTTGAGGATTGTGCGCATAGCGCCAATAAACGAGTGTGGTCAACGGATTTTGGTGGAACTTATCGTCGTATCAACCGCGTGACCAACACTAGCTTTTGAAGGCGTCATGTTTCAGCTGATGTCAAAACCATTTTCGGGATTTTGCAGGGTTAAAAAAATCTTCCTTCAGTAGACGGCAGCCAATATGCAGTCGGTTCAATGTATTTCAGACACCGATTCTCAGCTCGTGGCTGTCCGTCACCTTAGTGAAACGCTGTCCGGTATTCAGCAGAAAAGAGTCTTACCCACAAAGAGCTGTTCGCCATCGTTGGTGCGTTACGTTTTTATGTTCTGTGTGGTGGAAACTCACGACCCACATGTCGTGAACTTTCACAACCTTTCTGGTATGTAAAGTCAATCAATAATGGACGCTGATGCCGAAGATGAATGTTTTGGATTCATTGCATTTCTGTCTACCGTAGTTCATGATGTAATGTTGTAGATGCAGGCCTTAAGCCGTATATAAGTTGAATGGGAAGAATGATGGTCGCTTTTTGCTACTTTTATCCTAAGGAAAAATCTCTGCTGCTGAACCCTTTTCCAAACAGTGTTGGTACGTCGACCAAAAATGTTTAAACGTGAGGGAAACTGACTCATAAACCAGTGAGTCAGAACATTTCTGGTTCGGAAATCAGGTCCGTAACCACTTAATGGGGCGCTTTCGTATTCGATGACCCGCGAATTCCACATCAAGGGTTACTTGATGGAATCGATCATCTATGGAAAGCCCACACTGCACAGAGTCATAACGCTAAAAGCGCTGATCACTAATTTCAAATACTTCACGAAGGAGGTGAAATATTATGATGATCCTTACATCGAGTATGAAGAGAGTGTTACGGCAGCTGACCTCATAAAGGGGAGCACTGATCAGATGGCTATGGATGCGTCGAATTTGCAAGATCCAAACGACAAAACGAAAACCGATTATGACAATGCGAAAAACAAAGGGATAAGAAAAATATCCTCACTGTGATGGAAGCTATCGAGAGAGATGGCGATGGACGCTATCGAAAAAGAATCAAAGTTCACTGAAGTTATGAAGAGACAATGGAGCTGAGCTCCGTGTTGGTCACCAGATTCACCGAGCCAAAGGTTAACGAAAAAAGGTTAGCGGGCGAGCTCGGGTTTGACATGCTCGAACAAAGCGCCCAAGAAGAAGGTGACAACAATTAGACATGCAACCACGCTTCAAACGATTCACAACACAATCGAGAACTCCGATTAAGTAGCGAATTGACTGCGCACACGGACTTCAACGTTGTCATACCACCGATAGTTACCCCAGAGCTCCAGTTCAGGCCCAGACGAGGAGTTTCCTGAGTTCTGGACAGCTTTTCAAAGTTTAGTTCATTTAGAATTGCGTTTCGACGACTATTATGAAAATGCTCCTCTTGAAAAAGAGCCGAAGGGGCATCTGTCAAGGCAATAGAGAGATTTAATTACTCTCACAAAACTACGATAGAATGATGCAGCTTCTGAACAAAAACACGAAAATAAACCTGCGAATTGTGCAGTGTAGCACCATCGTTTTCTCCATCAAATGCGGCCGTTCAAGCAAAGCAACTACGGTCCGTCTCAAGTTCTAACAAGCCGTGATCAACGAAAAATGTCACTCACATTGCAACGGTCGTACGCTAAAATTCCCCCTTCAAGATACTCTCGAATACCCTCCACACTACGATCGTGAGCAAATATTCGATTCGCATAGAAACTCTTGGAAGGGTAAGATTAACTGGTTACACGACTGGAAGTGTTCGGGCCTTAATCCACTCCTACTGGCAATCAAGCACCGTTGGGTGGCAGCAGTAGCTGGTAATCGGCTCGTTAGCGAATCTTAGAAGCCTTGAAGGAGCTCACTGGGCTATGGGTCTTCATGACAAAACTGCAATTAGCATCACAATTCATGATCACAATAACAAAAGTTGCTATTTTACTTGCCTACAAATTTTTATTCTTTGCCGTGGAAACTGTCAGCCTTCTGGTTTACAGCGCCGCCGATAGAAGTTCTACTCATTGATGTCATCTATTCAATGGGCCGTTACATTCACGATTTCCTTTCGTAGTAGTTTGATTGCCCCGCTCATTGGCAATAGTGCAGGAGATGCTAAAATGCAGCATGTTTTCGCTTTCTGTCTGAAAGATCGTCAGCATCATTTGCAGTGCATTTAAACGCATAGCAGTGTTCCCTAACCGCTCTGCACGTCGAGCCGTAAACCGAAGCCGTGAAGGAACCGAAAGATCAATTCAATGCATTCGCTAACTCCATCAACGCCAAGCTGGACGCTATTGTAGAAACCGCGTGTCACGCCAGGCGGACAAACGGCGGGCGCCGTCAACCGAAAGCCCGATCAACAAATGGATCGCGCAGAACCAAAATCAAGCTGCTTCTTTTGCAGCATTGATGAAAACAAAGAACACCATTTTACAGGAATGTGCTGTCAGCATCCCGATCCAGTCTCTAGAGTGGTCCAAGCGACAAGTCCCCAGCTCTGTAATCGTTGTCTCCAACCCAGACACCCTGGCAATTGTGGGGTACAGTGCACGTTTCGCGGCCGAGACCACAACGTGCTTCTATGCCCTAGTAAGTCGTCGCATCGTCCTCTTTACTCAAGAAAAGAAAAACATGATATTCATGCTGATCGGGCGGAGAGCACGCTGATTGCGGTTGCGATCGGTGCACGCTCTCTACCATGTCATCGCACTTTCTTTCTACTGTTCTTCTCCCGTGCATTCGTGGTCGTGCGAAGCCGACCCTTTGCCATCAATTGTCCCATGGTAAGCAGCGTATGGTCCTCAACGATGATCAATTCTGGTCGACTGCATTACCGGTTTCTCCCTTTGTTTCATTTTGCTTATTTGTTTTGCTGCTCCTGCATATCTTTGTCAGATTTGCTGATTTTATAGTTTTACTGCTTCGTATTTGTTGCCCCGCGCAGTGTTGTGGACATTCACAACTTCTCTGGTTTATTATGTCCATCAATAATGGATGCTGATGCTGAAGATGAGTTTTTTGAATTCATTGCATTTTAGCCTACAGTAAGATATTCAGATATTCTAGTATTCATGATGTAATATTGCAGAACTTGGCCTCAAGTCGTATACAAGTTGTGTGGGAAAATTGATGGTCTCTTTTTGCCACTGTTATCTTGAGGAACCTCTGCCGCTGAATCCTTTTCTAAAAATCCTACAAACTAATCACACCATCCTGTATTCGGTTCATCGTTGAGTTGTTTCCTTTAGAGCATAATTGAACCCACGACAACTTAGCACATGAGTCGTTGGACTTCAAAGCTACGATGTCAGGAACGAATGCCTAAACGGATCATCCAATGTGGCTGTCGCCGTCCTTCTCCAGCTATGCAGGGTGCAGCAAAAGTTCTGGCAAAGGTCGTTTCAAGTTCTCTATAAAAAAAAATGAGGCCTTCGATCTCGACAGGATCTGTGCCGCTATTTACGCAAATCCTCCTCTATACATTCCATAAGCGAGCCGTTCTTGAATATTCCATTTTACAGAATGGTGACGAGCAAGGTCAACAAGCCTCCATTCTGCACCTCCATCTGGCTGGATGCACGGCAAAGACCATCTTCAAACAGCTCCCGAGTTCCTTAAGAATCATGTACAACAATCTCAACAGGTACAAAACGACAGAAACTATGGAGGACGAGCCCAGAACTTGAAGACTGAAGAGTGCAACGACAAAGGAGATCGTGAAAGTCATTCGAGTGAAAATCCGTCGCCACCCTCGTAGGTCCAAAAAAAATGGCTTTTGAGGTGGGTATTACTGCTCGATCTGTTGGAAGGACCGTCACCAGCCACCTTCGACCTTGCTCTTATGAGATCGAAAAAGCTCTTATGCTACTGAGCGTTTGAAGAAAACTAGGCTAGAAAGATGTAAGGAGGTTTTAAAGCGATTTTCGCAGGCGCGGTACAGCACCATCCTTTTCAGTGATGAATGTCTGATTTCAACTGATCAATTTCTGAACACCCAAAACGATGGGGTGATAGTGGGAAGCCCTGCAGAAGCCAGCTGACATGGAGGGATTGCTCAGCGATCTGTACACCACAAGTCTTGATGGTTTTTGGGGCAATCACATCGGACAGCAAGATGCCCCCCATTTTCTTGGAGAAAGGGGTCAGGGTGGTTAGCAAGACTTACTTAAAAGGCGTGTTGGAGAAGGAGGTACTCCCCTGGGCAAAATCCCTTTCGGCAATAGGACATGGACTTATCAGCAGGACTCAACTCCAGCACACAAGTCCGAAGTGGTACAGGACTGGTGCGGAACGCACTTCGCAGACCTCATCTCGTCGGACGATTGGCCCGCAAACAGTCCAGCCCCGAATCCATTGGACCGTTCCGTGTGGTCAGTTCCTAAGATGAAAGCCTGCTCTGCCAAGCATAGAAGTTTGGATGCTCCACGTGCAACCCCAGTTGAAGCATGGGAGGATTCGGACGAAGGCTTTCTCCGTGCCGCCGTCGAGGCATCCCTCAGGAGAATTTTAGCCTGTATACTCGCAAAGGGAGGCCATTTCGAGATCTAGATTGTTTTTGTGATCTATATAGCTGTTCATAAATGCTTTTGGTGTAGTATCATGTATCGATCGATTTGACCGTTTTTACGATCATATTTATCATTGCCAGTACTTTTGCCGCACCCTGTAGATTCACACGTCAAGTTCCAAGATGACACGCTCGAGGCGGAGAACATAATTGATTTGCCCATTAACATCAATAATATTATCCTCACGGACTATTCGATATGACCCTCTGCTTACTTCATCGAACCTCTTCACACAATTCGGCCGTATGATGCTCTACAAGAACAAAGGGACGCTGTGTTCTGGTTCCACATCCTTTCCTTCATAGAGACGCATGGCCCCCTAATCACTCAGCGAGGAACAAAAACGAGGTATGGCTAGCTATTGCGGAGAAGTGCGTGGAACGAACAATGGAAATCTATCACGTAAATCGCTGGATGCACACTGCTTTCCACGTACTACTACCAAACAAATAAAGGGGCTCATCTCCTTGGTATTCCGTACTGGTCCCTACCAATGGCCGAGGATATCTTCACGCAAATGCGTGCTTGCTAAGCATGTCAATGCAAAAGACCTAATGTAACCAATCATAAACAACTTATTCCTATTGTAAGCAGAGCGATTCTTTATAAAGTTTATGTCGACCTAAATGGGCTGCTCCATACGTGTGAAGCAGACAACAGAAACATACTTGCGATGATTAACCATTTTTCTATGTATGTTATCGCCACGCCTTTAGCTGTTTGCACAGCGATTACTGTAGTGCGAGCCTTTATTTGCGAATGTATATTGGAGTTTGGCGTAATGACCTAGCTCATTTTGCATGGCGCTTCCTACTTCAGAGGATCCTTCAGAAAAAGGTCGTTCATCTTTGATTCCACAGATATTATTGCAGTCTCTACCACCATGAGGGTAACGGAGCTTGTCAGCGATTTTCGCTACTTTTCACCCATGTTTCGCACCTATATTATGACAACCAAGGATAAATACGTTCAAATACGTGCGCGTTCATGCACAACACTTTCATACACTAAAGCATTAGCCACACTTTCTTCCTCATGAATGAAGGTGATCCCGTAATTGATATCGGTCTCCTTAAACACCTGATTCATAGCGCCACATGCCAGCGGAGGATTCAGTATTTTACGTACAAATCTGGTTTCCACCACTGCGCAGCTCGGCGTTCAGCAAGGTGTTATAGTGAACGCAAAGAGCTGCATTTGAAGCGGTCGCTCTCATTTGCTTTCTCTTTCATGAAGGAATGTGATCGCATATATGTTCGTGACTTAGCCCCTTTGATAGGATAATCGCGAAAGTTATCCTATCCAAGGTTGGGACAGGTCCGAGTGTTCAAAGTGGAACAATCACATTTAATCGTGATCAATATCTCAGCGCCCAAATTGGCGTTCAAAAATGTGCTCATGAATCAGGAGAAA